AAAAAGAAAAAAGTATCACCAGTTTCCCAGTGCAGGTTTTCTCTTTTACAGACTGATTTTTGAAAGCAAAATGCCACCTTTATCCTGCCAGGAAAGGAACGTGCCTCCAATAAATTAAAGTGCACATGAATGCTGTGTGGGAAAGCAAAAGAAGGAATATTAGTTATGAGCTCCAATGTTTTTGCCTCTCTGAATGCAGATAAATAATATCAGGAACCATTAAACTTAGGAAAGGCCATCTGGCTTTTTTCCCCCCACAGCCTACTCAGTCTGGTGAGGCCATGTTAGATGGATATACAACACACACTTTACAACACTGTTTCACAGAATTTGCTGCAAGTGTTCATTTTTGTCTTCTCTCACTTTCCCCCAAAACTTGCTAAATGTGTCTGCCACAGCATCTAATCTGTAGCTGAAAAAAGGGTGAGTGTGATGGCAAAGCTGCTCTGAGAATAACTTCATAACGATTACTGCGAGAAACAGCAATATATCACAATATTTTCTCTGTCTAGTAACACTTATCTTAGCCTCTGCTCGGCCAGCCTTGAGGGATTAAAGCTGAATTCCAGGGTTTCATTTGCAGTACAGTCTGCTGCAGCTGGTGCTCTAAGGCAATTAAGCTTATTTCTTATAGACTCTTAGAAAGAAAGAAAAAAAAAAAGTGTGGCAGCATTTTTACTTACTATCCTTGCCTGTATATAAATCTTTTTTCCACAAGTATTTTAATTTTCTGAAGTGAATGGAAATCCATCAGCACCAGTTTTGAGAAGGAAGGGGAGAATTACAATGGCAAATAGCAAAAATGAAGAAAGCAAGGTGGTGCTGTGATTACCCCAGGTGAATGCATCCCTTCTTTTTACAGCTCTGAGATTCACAAAACTGGGGAAGACTGGAGCATCTTTCAAACCTAAATATCTCTGTCTATTCAGCACACCTTGGACACCGTGCAGGAAACTACTCTGGTAGTCTGCAGCTGCAGAAAAATACTGAAAGAAGTTCAGTATTCTGGTGATATTCTTTGGTTCATTTTATGTGATTTTGGGTAGCCAACCATGAACCTCCTCCAAAAGGCAGCTTCCAGATATGTTCCTTTTCTGTGTTTGAATCCATGCCCACACTGCCTGGTGCACAAGGAGGTGAGCACAGACCACAGCCAGCTCAGAGCTCTCCAGGAATCATTCTTCCCAAGAAACCACCTCACCTCCTAACCACCCTGTTCCTCTCCATGTGATGCTAAATCCAATTATTTTAGCCAAGAATGACCCCTTAAATGGAGCTGTGAAAACAAAATGGATGAGATTTTAATCTGAATATCCCCATGAATCTGTGAAGCACAGGCTTAGAGAGTGGGCTGAGTGGGGGACGTTGTGTTGGGGAGAAAACCCAACCTTGAGGAAAGGACTTTTGTAGGAATTATTGCAATCATCTCATAGGCTTGGGTCCAACAGCCATCTCCAACCCACAGCAGGGCAAACTGCCAAACTGCTTGCTAAAAAGGTTTTGTGGGTTTTCAGCTTTTTTTTTTTTTCTAGTTTGTGGTTACTATGCATCTCTCCTGCTTGTCTTTCTTGTTGTCTCTTCTGCAGCCTGTATCCACAAGCCTGAGCAAACACATCTGACTGCAACTGCCCTGTCTAATCACTAACATCTTTCTATCAATACAGAGAGCTGCCCTTTCAACCCTTCTTGCCTTTATTATTTGCCTCATATACCTGCAGAATAAAGAACTGCTGAGATCTCCATGACATGGGCAGGTAAAACATAATGACAATGTGCCCCATCCAAAATCTGTGTGTGAAGCTGCTAACAGGAAATTTTACCTGTGTCTCCTCAATTCCCAGGGTTAGCCACTTTCTTTCCAGGCACAGATTTCCTCTGTCTGGAAGCTGTTGGTGTAGTGCTGGAAGAGGCTTTGAGCCCCTGAGGAAATACTTAGCTGGAAACCCACATCCTTTTTCAGAGAAATCTCTCCAAGTGTTACCAGAAATGAAGCCACATGAACCTCATTTCTGGTCAAACAATTGTTTCATTGATTGTAAATTTCAGGTATACTTTTCTGGGATGATCAACCTACATGTCTCAATCGTAAAGGATAAGAAACTTCCAAACAACACTACAAAAAACAAAGTTTAGTCTTTTGTAAATGAGTTTTATATAATTGTGAAAATAATGCAGTATTTCTGAGGAAAATTCAGTGTCAAGTGTATCCAGCAATTTAGGATGTCTGATGATGCACAATCACTGAAATTAATTACCATCATCTTACAAAATTGGTTCTAATTAGCTGATGCCTTCCCACTTCAGAATATCTCTGAAGCAGCTTCATATTGCAAATCCATGCCAATGGTTTTTACCCAAAAATGTTAGCAGCCGGCATACAGGATCCTTTGTGGGGTGGGGAAGACATAATTCAGCTGAGCTTGCTGTTAAATCCATATAAATAGCAGAAAGTGGGCATTGCTGTCTCTAAAGCAAGGAGTAAAGGCTTTCTAGATTTGAGGGGTGAGAGATTAAAGGGTGGGGAGATGCTTTTGATTTGTGGCACAACCTGTACTGGCATGAAAGAAAATATCCCACCACGGCTGTGAGGGAGGTGATGGCAAATGGAATTCTTCCTCTGGAATACCCTCACATGGTTCATCACAGAATCTCACTTTGAATTTGTAAGACTGACCCATTTTTGCAGGCTTTTGAAGAAAGACAGATAGAGGGATGTGCTGGGGAATTTTTGCTGGTAGTGGTATGTGGGGAAATATTTCTTATGGTGGGAAATGGACTTTTTTCCCCTCTGTGTAAAAACACTTTGCACTGGAACAATTGATTCCTTTAAATAATAAGAAAGGCAGACTATGTGATAAGCCCTTCCAAATCCCACAACATTTGTTATAGTCACTGAACGCCTTTCATTAGGATTGCTAAAGATAAAACCTCTCTGCTGCTTTGTATCTTCACAAAAGCTTTTAAAAATGTGGACTTATATCTGCAGGAAACAACTATTATTAATGAAGCAGCTGGATTTCTTTTTAAATAGGTTACTTTGCAGCCATTTGCTCTGATAATTATAAACAGAAATGCTGACATATATCTACAGTGCTTTGGGATGTTGAATATTATCTAAAGTACATTTAAAAAGCCTTTTAGAAGAATAAACCATATCTGAAGTGTGAATTGAAGCTGTAAAATAATATACATGAAAAACAGCTGCAGAAATTATTAGCTCACATTTCCCCCCAGCAGTTCTGCTTCCAAATATATCTGATGCAATGTGAGAAGCATTGCTCCACAGTAACATCAAAATTCTGCTGATGCCACTGACTATTAAAGTATCCTAATAAGTAGTAACTGTTCTGACACATGAATGCATGTGAAATAAACCCGGAACATAGATATCACACCAGAGCAGTTCAGAGAAAGGTAATTCTCTCTCATGAATTATTTCAGGACTTGGTTCTGTTCTATGAAATTCTCCACGCACACACACACGAACAGAACAATGTTTGAGGCCCAGACAAATCTTCCTGGGGCACTGCTGAAAAATCACAGAGCAGGAAAGCTGCAGGTACTCAAATCAGGGCCAGTTCCTGTCTGCAGATGGACAGAGAGATGAGCCAGAAAGGAAAGGGGAGTAATTTTTAAAAAACTACCCAGTGTCCAAGACATGGGTGATATCAAATGCTCCATAAAAATAACTTGATTTTGAGAAATCAGCAAATTATCACAGGAAACTGCTGGTATGTTTCTGATAACATACAGATATCTGTCATGCTTCTTGACAATGGAAAATAAAATATTATTTGGGAGAGTAGGTAAGGAGGACAACAAAGAAATATCTGAGAAAAATTACTATGGAATAATCCAAACCAAAAAGTAAAGAGAATCAGGGTCTGGAGGTATCTGGCAGTGGCTCTGCTGTACTCTCAGGGCTGTATCCTTTGTTCCAATTGCTCCTCTCTGGTGGCTTCCCCTCTTCCCAACAAGTTCTGCCTCCATGACTTTCTCCCCTCTCATGTAAACCTTTCTGAAAGTGCTGGCTGCTTTTCCCTCCTGCTTATTCACTTTTGTTTCTCTAAGCAGTTCCTCCTCCTGCTACCACAGAGGAGCCTTCAGTCACCATCACCAAGATTTTTGTCCCAGTATTTCCACAGCTCCCTGCTGAATGTCTCTCCTTTGGGATACCCTTTCAAACAAGTTCCCAAACCCACAGGCCCCTGACTTCCCACAAGCCCAGATTTACCATTCTGCAGGATGGAAATGACAGTGGGCTACTGAGGGCTGGTGTTTACTTTTTAAGACAAATCTGAGATACTTGACATTAAAATTATTCACACAGATTCTTATGTCAGTGGGTCTGGAGCATTTCCAGGGGTTCTGTTAAAAAAAAGACTATTTTAGGACAACTTTAGCTCACAGAGAGGGGTCATCCTTTCCTTTTACATTTCTAAAAAGAATGAAAAACAATTTTGCCATCATATTACTCACATTTTCTGTAGCCTTTCCTTAATGTTTACTAAGGACCTTTGGGGGTTAATTAATGCCAGGACATTTCACCCATGAACTGTTTTCTAATTCAATTTGTTAAATGCAAGTAGCCATAAATATTATAAATCAATTACAGAGTATATTCTATGCTTCACCAACCAAAAAAATCATAACAGAGTATTTTTGAAGGTGATTGAGAAAAATGAATCACTTCCATAAGGCCAGGCATTTATGCTTCAATTTATCTTTTCTTTCACAAAAACAATTTGAAATACATTTTACTAAATACAGGAACTACTTTTGTAGAAGAAATCAATTATATTCTGAAGTTTAAATCTTTTTTTTCCAGCCGTGCTCTAATGTATTACTGTACCTCAGAAAAGTACCCTGGGGAAAAGGCTTCTATTCTTCACTAGAAATCCATGAATAACATTATGTAGAAATTAATTTGTGATAAATGATTCAAAATCTTAACCTAGAATGGTTTCTGATTCAAATGTCATCATAAAATGGCACCTCACCCGCAGGAAGGAGTCAAGGGATCCGTTCTCCATGTATTCAACTACAATCATTACTGGTCTGCCTGCAAAACAGCAAAGACACACATCAGGATTATGGACATATTATGGGGCTTTTACAATTCTAGCTGTTCTGCAGAGATTATTCACAGTAGCTGAATATATAAAATATTTCCAAAATTCTCATTTATATCACAAACACAATTCCCTGTGTTACTCTTAAGAATTATTTTCTATGCCTCTTTTTTTTGTTTATTTTGGGTTTTGGGTTTTTTTTTCAATTTTTTTTTTTTTTTGGTTTTGTTTTTTTTTTTTTTTTTTTTTGGTTTTGTTTTTTTTTTTTTTTTTTTTTGGTTCTTAATGGATCAGCTGAATGCACATCATTTACTTTGGTGTATTCTCCCTTAAAAAATGATCAAAGAAGACCCTGCTATCTCCAAATAGCAAAACTTTCCATGTAATATTTTGGAATGTATCTGAATTAAGGCAAAACCCAAATATTCATAAGCCATGTGCAAGTAATTACAAACTGAGGGTCATAATTTTCCTCTCAAAGAAAGATATCTCAGTGACTTAGGAACACAGGAGAGTGATAGAATGGGGTGTCACAAAAAAAAGTTCTCCTAGATCTGCTGTGTACATTGGGTGTGTATAATCCAGCAAAACTCTGAATTCCTGTGTTTGAAAATACCTAAAATATACATGGTGTTACTCAAATCAAGGTTTTGCTCAACCAGCACAGTCCCAGGGTGGCACCATATCCAAATTGAAGGAAAGCAAGACATTACATTTATGTCTTGAAAGGATATAACGGTCTGAAGATAAACTTTTGAAATGTGTACTTAACTTCAGCACCAGCTGGGGTAACTTTAACACTGCTGGTACCCTTTAAAAAAACAAAAAAACCACTTTAAGTGCTTGACAGGAAAGGGCAATCAGGCTGCCAACCGGGCTGCACAGTAATTCTTAGAATTACTAATAACCCAAAGCAGCCATTTTTCACAAAAAAAATTAAGGAAGAATAATATTAATAAGATTAGGAATGAGGTGAAAGGGCTTAAAATGGCAGACTTTTCTTTTCCTGGGAATGCCCATCTCTTTTGGGGTTTGTGGGAAACCAGAGCTATGCCAAGTGGTGACACTGTGATTCCACCATTTCCCTTCCTCAACTCTACACTAGGTGGGCCAATATTTTTCAAACCCAAAAGAAGACTCTTTCATCACTTTTTTTTTTCTCTTCTGCTCAATTTATGTTTGTGATGTTTTTGGATGAAGGGATGAGAAATAAAGAAAGTGCTTGGGCTGATAAAGTGTAGAAGGGCATTTTGATTGCTCTACCACAATTATCTATTTCTGTTCATTTTGATTAATAGTGGAAGTGTTTATTAAACTGTCCACAATGTACAACAGGCCACAGCCAGGTATTTCTCCTGAGCAGTTACAGTTTCCCTTCAATTTAAAAAATGAATGATCCATTTCTGTGTTTGCTCTCCAGCATGGTGACCCAGAGTTTTGACTTCCTGGTGATGCCCATTTACAGAGCTTAGTCTGGTCTTTTTGTAGTTCCTATCAATATTCCCTCATTTCCTCTAATAAAAATTGTAATTATTTCTGTATTGACTCTCATGTTCACATCTTCTATGAATGAAACATTTCATAGCGTTGTCACAATACTAATTATTTTTTTTGTATGTGTGTGAAAATTCCCAGATGCCTTGATAAGTCTTTTGGGAGTGTGAAGAATAACCAGCTTCTTTCTTTTTGACTGAATGTTTAGTCTTAGCTGCTGATGTGCATCTGCCACCAAATCAATTACATTAATCTACACCCATTGGTTATACCCTGGTTTTGCAACATGAACTTAAAAGATACATCACTTTTAAGCTCTTCGAGATCAGAGTGTTTTAAAAATTCATGTTTCCTTTAGTTCAGTTTGCTAATGATGGCTGATTGTACAGCCCACTCTCTTTAGTTTCAAGCACATGAATGCCCCAGATTCCCTTCCCTTTATCATTTCCTTACTGTCACAGGGCTGACACCTCCACATGAAAGGAAAATCCTAAAACCTAGAGAAGTAAACAAACTGCAGCCTGATTCTAGAGAATCCTCCACTGTGCAAAACCCTCCTGAGCAAGTGGTAATTTCTGAATTGATGCAGACAATAGTATTTTTCCATAAGTAGGGGTGTAAAGCTGGCTTTCAGATGCCATATTCAGAAATTTCTCTTTCTGAGTAAATCAACAACTACAACACCTGTACAGAAAATTTGCATTTGAAGGGAAGGACAAATGGAGCTTTAGAACAGCACCCCTGGTTTCCTGTGGGTAATCCTTTGGCACTCTACACTTTCCAGAAGCTGTAATTTTCTCTAGAGGTTCACAGGCCCTCATTGCAGCTTTTATGCTCCTTAGATTCACATCCTTCACCAGAAATTATTTTCATACTTGCTAAACAGAACCATTAATTCTTCTACATTCTCTCACAAAACATTCTTGCTTCCAAAAACACCCCGTCTGTACTTCCTTTTGCTCAGACCCTATGCTCCTAGGTTAAAGTAACTATGAAATATATTAATATGCATTCATCTGTGGATTTAAAGAATATATTTCAGTATTTTTTTTTCACTGGACAATGAGGTTTTAAACCACTCAACTTGAATGACTTGAAATGACATGCCTTAACACAAAAACAGCTCTTCCAGGTGACAGCACAGAAATGGCACTAAATACACCAAAAAAAGCAGCAGTTTCATTCCAACGGGTTGCTGTATATCAGGAAATCAGCATATCATCAATAAATTTAGTCACTTAGGCTGATAGCTTCCCACTGACTCAGTCTGTATCACTTGCCATGCTACCAAAATTTCAAATGAAATTGAGGTGGGATTGTGTCAAGACACCACAATGTGTCAAGACACCATGAAAATAAACCTGGCTCCATCACTTGATTATCTCAAGCAAAAATCTTTAATCTGGACACAAACCTAAATTCTCAAATAATCCTGTCTTTAGTGTGACAGCACTTGATAAAAGCCACCTGATTTTGGCTGCAAGTTTAATGCATCCCTGGAGCTATTTATGTATTCCAAGCCGGACTGTGACAGTGACATTTTTAGTCAGCATAGTATTTGTCTTTGGAGCACCTGTGGGTTAAAAATGTCTCAGCTGTTGTTAGGGTGGCTTGAAGACACAGCAAAAAACTCTGTTACACAGTAGAATCCAGTGGGAACTTTTACCATCAAAATGGCAACACTGGCTCTATTGCCAGTATGTTGTCCTTTACAGAGGAGAGCAATTTGAGTCCAGAAAAACTTGTATGTGCTAGACCCCTGTACAAACACAAAATATTGCTTTAGTTTCAAAGAGGACTACAAAACTGACTATAAAAATAGCACTGGGAGATTTCTAAACTAGTCTAGTGTTTGCATCTGAATAATTTTTAAAAAGCCTATAACTTAGATTATGAAAATTCACGCTGTTGTCATGACACTAAGAATTCCTCATCCTCAAAACAAGAACAGAAATGAATAAATGGGAATGGGGTAGAGAAACTCTGAGACAGAGAAGCAATCTTTGATTATTTTATCAAGGGGTAGGCTAATGCAATGCTGGAAGGCATTGAATTATTTTCCCAGGATTGCTTACAGCACAAAAGATGGAGAATAAACAGATTTAAGGACAAAGAGCAGTGGGACACAGATGGCAGCCAAGGCACTCCTGGGAGCAACAACGACCTCCACAAATGGCCGAACCTCCTGGGATAGGAGCACACCCATCTCCAGCCCAAGGAATTGCCCACTTCAGGGAGGTGTTTCCACACAGATACAGGAAGAGGTACAGGAGAAGGATCTGAAGAACTGAGTTAATTTTACAGTCAAGAGCCACACAAGAGAAGGAATGGAAAAAGGATACTGAAAAAGGTGTCAGCTGAGGGTGTGGAACCAAGGAGCTAAAAAGTGTGGGTGTTGCTAGAGGAGAGCACACAGCTTCTCCTTTGAACTGGGGGAGGATGAAATAAAAATGTTTGAAGCTGGTTCAATGATCAAATCAGTCAAACAAATCAGACTCACAGCAGTTTTAGATGCTTAGCACTGCTGGAGTGGGGAGTACTGGGAGAAAACAGATCTTTTAAAGCAGAGAAATTATAGTGTCCTGAGGCAATGGGTTTGAACCCTAAATACAGATTTTACACACTACATATATCACATTTAAAATGTGCAGCACATTATAACAGGTGTATCATTTTACTACATAGTTAAAATAACAACATGAAATAATTGTATTTATGCATGACACACACTGATACCATCCCCACATTCTCCGTTCTCATATTTTTTGGGAAAGCATAAATATTCCCCCCCAGACACATGTGGTATATTGTCTGAAGCAGATTTCCCTCCTTGCACATGGAGAAATTGTGGCTCTGGGAGATCCATTTCAGAGTTCCAGCATCTCAGAAAGCCACACTGAACACACAAGAGCAGCACTGGGGCTTGGCATGATGCAGAGAAAGGACAGCAATTCAATTTCTCCCAACTGAGATGAATCTACAGAAGGGGCAGGAGCTGCTCACTATTTTGAGGCAACTCCCACCTTGTGACAAGAGGCTGACTGCTTTGGACAACTCTCCCTAAGAGAGTTCTTTGCAGTTCTCCCACTCAGCTGTACTGCAGTGCCACTCAAACAAAACCAGTGAAAATGACAAACAACCTGTATTGATGTCATGCCACCCCAGAATATGCTGCAATCTTCTATTTTCCATTGATCAATCTGTTTGTCATTTTTTTTATAAGCAGGAACGCAAAAATAAAAAAAAAGTGCCATACATTGCCAAATAATGTAAAATACCGATTAAATCTGAAATTCACATTGTATATATTTTTAGGGTTTGTTTTTTTCCACAACACAAGATTTTGATAGCATGCAATTTAATTGAGTGCCAGAGTGATGAATAAAGAGGAGAATCTGAAGTGTCATATCAATGACAAAATATTCAGCTTGTTGTCTCCTGTTGTCATTTTAAATAATACAGCAAAGCCTCCTTTAATGAATGTTTTATGTAAGAT